TACGAGGGGTATTAAAAACTTATAGTTACAACGGAAGAGTTCCTCGTAGACAGCCACACATAAATGAAGCAAATCGCAAGAAAAGATTGAGCTTTGCAAAAGAATATTTGTACAAAGACAACTGGTGGTGGAATGATGTAATATTTTCGGATGAAAGCAAATGTAATCTTTACGGATCCGACAGTCGAAAAATGGTGTGGCGTAAAGTAAATATAGAATTAAACATTTCAAATTTAACACGTTTCGTGCCGAGCTTTTTTTACTCGAATCTTCACACTTTGATATTTTACTAAAACTTGATGTGTTACGTGCAATTATTAATTCTCGTACACATAACAACGTAACAAAAACTTATCAACGCCCATTCTTGCGGTGGAAATTGATTCTTCGGTTCTAAATTTCTTGTAAACAATTTGTTCAGTTCACTAAGTAAACATGCAAGCGTGTACCATCGATGGTACACGTGGCACGGAACGTGTTAATACCGACAGTGAAACACGGTGGTGTTGTGTCTTGTCCGTAGGTGTAGGTGATCTAGTTTTTATCGATGGTATTATGGACAGAATGAAGTATTTAGACATTTTTTTTTTAAATTTAATTACAAGTGCTATAAATATGGGTATATGTAACAATTTTAAGTTTTATCAGAACAATGATTGTAAACACAAGGCCAGAATTGTACAGGAATATTTATTATATCATTGTCCAGAAGTATTGCATTCTCCTCCTCAATCGCCTGATTTAAATTCGATTGAAAATTTATGGGATCAATTGGACCGCAAAATTCGTACAACACTTACAAGGACAACAACAGAGTTGAAACAACGTTTGTTAGACGAATGAAACGGATCTCGCCGGATTATTTAAATAAAATCATCCGTAACATGCCCAAGCGATTACATGAAGTAATAAAGCAAAAGGGTCAACCGACAAAATATTAATATTATGATAACATGATTAAAAAGATTTTCATTTTATATAAAATTAATGTAATTCATTCACTGTCCGAATATTTTTGCGACGTTAAATTTTGTCACAATCTTGTTTATCGCTTATTATACAAAAGGACATGCGCAATAAATAAACGAAATTTATATTTCTACTTACTATAAGAAGTGCTTTAATTTATGAGAAAACAATTGATTCGATAATACTGATTCAAATATTAATGCGAGTCACTGTATGCACTTCGTAGTTTGCAAAAGATTCAACACTTTATTACTGACACGGAACGAAATAAGTAAACAATCGCAGAACAGAAGGCAACTGTTAGGCAATTATTATGCGGATATTTAAGACGAAATTAAAAACGCACGAAATTATGGACCGACTTATTATGTGTTTGATTCGTGTTACAAAAATTGAGAATCCGAGATCATTACTCTCTCAATCTTCTTGAATCCGAAGGACTCTCTATTTTTGTTGTTGAAATTTGTGAGCTGTAAATCGACGGAACATTGTGCACAGTGTGTCTTCAAAGTGGCTTCTCGTTTTTTCAATGGAACAAGGATTTATTTACATGGTAGTTGTTCGTGATACCTGGTTATTGACGTGCAGATTGACTATGCAACAGTGTCTATTCAATTCACTTTTAATGATTGCAATCTGGCAACGTCCTACTAAATTTTCATGTTCCACAACGATTGCTTCTCGACTGCCGCGGGAAACTGCAACGATATTTATGAGAGTAGTTGAGAATAGTTTAACCTTAAAAGAGAAGATCCTGTCGAAATAAATTCCGAGGGAGCCGATAAGCAGGCGTCCTATTTTCAAGCTTGAAAACTTTTTGTATAAGAAGAATTTAGTGACCTGGCACACTTTTGCCCGGTGTATTTCTCCGCAGTGTTGACAACAAACGTCGTGACACGCTGTGGAGAAAACTCCGGCAAATATTTTTATCCTCTGCGTTGTATAGCGATTTTAGTATCATAATTCTGGTGAAACGAACACAGCACTGGCAATCTTTGTGTAGCAAGACAATTTCGTTGTTACGATGCTGTGTGTGTGTGTGTGGAAAGAACTGTATTAAAATCAGCACACATCTTTTGTATCTATTATTTATTACGCACCTTTGAGAAAACTATAAAACACACCTGAATTTCTAGCATTTCTTAAAACCACGGACGTGTACAAAGTTTTTGTACATAAATATATGCAGAGTATCCCTTCTGTAGTAACATAGAAAAAAATTAGCCAGTATTGATGTTGTTTTACAGTAATGGTAACAGTTTCTAAGAAAAACGGGTGCGACAAAACTATAAGACAGATTAGGTTTTCCGTAAAAAATCAACACATAGAATTCTTTTTGTTACTTTGTAATAATGCGTATTTCTACCCGTCCTTTTTACTACTTCTAGCATTCTTTCTGGTAAAGATTTACACAGTTTCTTAATTGTGTGTTTTGTTTCAAATTCTTCCACTTATCTTCAATAAATTTTTTAATTTTCCTATGGTGTTAAACTGCTTTCCACTTGAGTATACTTCCTCAGCTGACATTCCCGAACAGTTTTTAATAATATTCAAATCCTGCGATCTTGCTGGCCACGGTTAAATTATCTATGTTTTTATCTTCGAAATAAGCTCGTATTATTCTTGCAGTATGCACAGCTGCGTTATCATGTTGAAAAATATACTTTTGCTTACCTATTTTTTGTGCACATTTCAATAGTTGCTTATATACTTGTTGTATACTTACTATTAATTTTTGTAGAAACAAATTCAATACATGTCTTTCCATAGTATTCTATAGCAGTCCTTTGCTGCACGATTTCTTCTTTCCTCAGATCAGGAAAATAATAATTTAGGCCACCAGGCCCATTTAAATTAAAACGCTTTTTGTTGGAAAAGATCATTTTTTCCACTTTTTACATCAATGTATCCGATCCTCTGCAAATTCCAATCTGGCTTGTTTATTATATAACCGTCACTTAGAACCCTTTATTATTCTCTGCACTGTCCTAACACTCGTTCCCACACCGGATTACGCTGCTATTTGCCATGTTGTAGAATTCGAAGCATATCTTAAAATTTGTCGCCTTTTTCGCTTAGTTCTCGATTTTGGACGACCACCGGGTATCTTTTTAACGTATTTTTCTTTATTCTTTAAACAGTTGTGAACTATGTACACAACGACTTCACCCTAAATATGTTGACAATTTTTCGCACTGAATTGCTGTGAAATGATATTTCATTATAAAAATATATAGATTTATTTATAAATATATATATATATATATATAAATATATTTATAAATATATATGAAATATATAAATATATTTAAAAAATTAATCTAAAGTATAGAATAAAAACTTTGTTACGACAGATCATATTTGAGACAATTGAATTCGATGATTTTTTGAAGATGCGTATCAGTGAACATATATATATTCTATACTTTAGATTAATTTTTTAAATGTAAAATTACCAAAATTACCAAATCACTGAACATAGCAGAAAATTGAGAATCCGAATAAACACCGACAGTCCTTAAACTGAAAATTCTCCCGAAGTTTGTTGTTCGATCTAATTACAACTAGAGCGCATAAGTTTTATTGTTTCATACACAACAATTTTGAATTCTCTGTCCGAGCAATATCTATACTGTATCATCTATATTATATTTCGCGCGAAATCCATCAGCTTTATATGTTCTATTCGTCTTTGAATTTTTGCTTTAACAACGTGTTCGTGAAACATTTATTCCAGATCGAAGCGACAGATAACGACGAAGGTGAGAACGCCGAAATAACTTACAGCATCTACCACGTTTCGAACAACGGCTTGCATAAGTTCAAAATCGACCCAAAGACTGGGGTGATCGAATCGGTGAGAAAGCTGAATGCGGGCGAACAATACAGTATTACGGTGCAAGCGACAGACAAAGGGGGAAAATATTCGCAAACCATCGTCGAGGTGAACGTAATCCCTGGCCCCAACACCAAAAGTCCTGTGTTTCATCAACCCGTGTACGAGGTGCAGGTCAGCGAAGGTGCTTCGATCAATTCCACGGTCGCAACGATTACTGTAAGTTTATTAGTTTTTCTCTATTCAATTGACCACGAGGTACGCCAAGAAATTAAAAAGAATTTATTCACGCTTTTTAGAACTTTCAAAGAGCAACTTTTATACTGTATTAATATCTGTTAATACCAGAAATAGTCTAAATATTACCATTCCTACAATTTCTAAGCAGATTTACGTGACTACAAATTTGTATAAAGCAACATACTGTACTCTCTTTTGTTTCAGCGATACGGGTCGAAATAAAGTGTTAGAAAACGAAAATCTCTCAGTATATATGTATACGAAAATTTCTCAGTATATTTGAACTATGAGATACTTTCAATTTAATTTTATCGTAGTTATTACATCTTTATAATTTTGCTATATTTATTTCATTCAAATGCAATTAAATAAATATTATAATATTATAAACTAAAATAATATATCACATTACTACAATTGATAATTCCATTTCAATAATAGTTCCATCAATTAATAAGATCGAATGAAAAGTAGAGTGGCAATGAAACAAATTTTGTTTAAAGCCAATCTATCAAATATCTATCATTATATTATTATTATTCTGACTGAAAATAAATTAAAGAATAACGTTAAAAATCAATTTCTATTGTAGCTTAAGCGAACCAAATTTCCATTGATTTTGTAGGACATCAAAGCGTCGCAGTTTCGCCGCCATTAACTAAATTACTTTAAACTTCTCTGGGCGGTGGTTCGGCGGTCGATCTAATTTATTATCTGCAACATTATCTCGTGCATTGAATCGATACCTTTTGCATCGACTTACAGGCGGTTGATCCAGAAAACGACCCGGTATCGTACTCCATTGTTTCTGGCAACGATCTCCGTCAATTCGTGATCGGTGACAAATCGGGCATAATTACCGTTATAAGGAAGTTGGACAGGGAAGATTTAACTCGTTATCAACTGGTGAGTTTTCGAGTCGTCGAGTTTTTAAGTATCCCCTCGTAAAGATCTGCTCTTCCGCACGGGTACAGGAGAATTCCATCCGTTTCTCTAACTGCTACAAGGGCCAATGAATGTTATCCGAAAGCAATTTCTGCCGACAGGTGATAAAAGCCGAGGATTCCGGTGGTCTGTTCAGCTCCGCAACAGTGAACATCAAAGTGACGGACATCAACGACAAGAATCCAGAATTTGTAGACTTGCCTTACGAGTTCACTGTTAAAGAAGGCGAGGCACGGAAATTGATCGGCCGTGTGCACGCGGAGGATGCCGACGAAGGCATTAACGCTGAGATCACCTATTTCGCGCCGGACGATATTCCTTTCACGGTGGACCCCGAAACCGGAGATATCCTGACCAAGATCGTTTTGGATTACGAGCAGAATGACGTGAGTGATCTATCCTTTCACCTAATTTCGCTCCTCATTACCATTTTAATATCTGAGTCAAGCAATTCATGGCAATTAGTGATTCTCTTTTATCATTAAGCTGAATAGCGAAAAATTATGGTTTCTTCGGTAAAAATATTATTTTTTAAAACAGTCAAACATTATTTCTTAATAAATATTTAATTCTTCTGAGATTAAAAAGAGAGTTAGTACAGTTAGTATATCTTTCTCGTGGTACTATGATAATATCGCCTTTGTGATAATAATTAATAGATCAAATTGAAAATAGTAGGAAAATTTATAAAATGTATGAATGTCTATTTATTATTTCAATGCACTAAAATTATTTAAGAAACTAAGAAATTGTAATTAACGAAAACGATTTGAGCCGTTTATTTTGAAAGTGGCATAAGTCACTTTTTCAAAAAAATCGAGTTAATGGTAACACTAATTACAATTGAACGGTATCTTTTCATTTTTTAAAAATTTGCAATCAATAAGTTGAGAACTATTGAGATTTGTTCGAGAGAAGTTTTGCTAATTAACGGTATAACAAACATGTTTATTTTGAAAGTGGCGTAAGTCGCTGTACTCAGGAAATTAATTGCGGGGCTTAGTGTAAA